AAAAAAAATAATAATTGCAAAGTTGGTATCAATTCTGTGAGAAAATGCACTCATGGCCACTAGACAATCATTCAACAATCTGTTTACAAAGGCAGAGGAACGCCTTGGCGGATTGGCTCTCTTGCTTGTCCACAGAGGAAGAAATATTCCTGATCCTGAGACAATCTACGAAATGAAGTCCAATTGGCGTGTTGTGTTGAAAAAATGACTGTACTTATGGCAAAATGAACCCACAATTTCTTACTTCTGATTGAGCAATAAATAACAGTTAAAATGCACCAGAATGCGGTTTTATACATACAGTTTTTAAAGATTTCCCCCTCCCACCCCCTCCCCCCTCCCGCGGCCTTCGCCCCCTCGTGTCCGCTTACTGCCCCCCCCCCCTGGCATTTTGCTCAGGCTACGCCCCTGTCAGTCAGAAGAACATTATTTCTATCCTCAAACTGCATATCTGATAGAAATTAACAACCGCATGGACGGCGACTTAGCATGGTTATATACCGTTCCTCACTATTGAGGAACCCAGGGTTTATTGTGAACGGTGGCTGAGACCCCGAAAATAAGAGGTAGTCGAGAGGAGCAAAGAATTCATGTTACACGTAGTCTCCTCTACAGACAAATATCAGCAACTTCTACTTGGATATACACATAACTGATTCGTGTTCTTTCTGCTTTTACAATATATTTCTGTCTTAAAAGACGTATATTAGTAAATTGTTTGTTTTTTTTCATCGTGTTATTTCTTTCCTTCGATTCAGTTCTGAAGATAAACTGTGCATAGTGCATAGTTAGTTACCGCGCCCCTCTTCCCTATCCCAACACAGCGGTCCACAGAGCAGCACTGATGTTCAGTCTTTTGTATAAAAATGACGGGAACATCAAACTTCGCATTTGCTGGACTGAGCCTGATACTCTCCAGGTCAACCGTAACCTAACTGCTCATTTCACCACATTAGAAGATAGTAATTGTCGTAAAGATGTACGTTCGTCATTTTATGCATTTATTGTTACTATGTAGGCGCCGAGTTTTTTATCATTCCACGTTTTCGAAGATAAAAATGTGTTAAAATTTCAAGTTACTTGCTTCATTCAAATTAATGTAAGTGCTAATGTTATTTGCGGTTAAATTGGTGAAATTCTTTACTCTAACTACATATTTGTCTAATTATCCTTCGGACCTTGAACCCAAGCCAATTTCGGAGCACTAATTTCTTCCCATTCGGCATTGCCCTCACAAATCAACACGAGATAACAAGTTTGAAATAGGATGAAACTGTTGCATTGTTCTTTAAACCTAACGGCATCGTGCCCCTCGCCCTGACGAGTGAATCTCCGCCCACTGAGACAGGAATGATGTACTTGAGAACGAGACCCATTCATAGCTTGAATACAAACTCAAACTTTTCTACGCAACACGCGGAAAGAAGATCAGAGGGGCTGAATACATAAGATCTACTTGACTGCCAACTCAGGCACAGCATACACAAATACTACAGTATCACTCTCGCAACTCCGAAAACCAAGTGGTCAAGGATTACTGGTCCTTAGTGATTGTTTTGGTATAGTCAAGCGCCAGTGTAGTGGCATGATGAATGACCAACAGTAGCCACTGTCACGGCAACTCTGTGAAAGGTAATTCAGAGACGGCGACTGTATTTCATCCCCTGTCAACCATAGTTGGCTGCATAGTGCTACCAGTCAGTTACAAAGCCAGTGACTTGACGCCTTCATGAAGATTGATGCTGAAGCGCTATGAATCGCTAGAACGCTATTTCAAAGCAGCAAAAAGCGAGTACTTTTATTTTACGCATTTTGTTTTGCATTTAATGTGGAAATATGGAAATAAGTGCAGTTTGTGAGTTTTCGTTTAATTCAAACGAGGAGAAAACGACAGATAGGATTAGAAACGATTCTGAAAGTCAAACTTCTGATGGCTCAGAGAGAAGTGGCAGTGAGAAACGTACAGGGAGCTCTAAAGATGATTCTGGTGCACAATCGATAGAAGAGGGTCAGAGACCCAAAAGAAAACGAAGAGAGTGCAAAACTACTTCTGAGTACAATTTTAGATATTCATCGATAATAAATCGCATAAACACTGAACGCAAGAGGAACACTCGGAAAGAACCGAAACCAAAGTCAAAGCCGCCGCCGCTCAGCAAATACCGCCGCCGCACCGCTAACGCCAGGGAGCGTGATCGGATGAAAGAAATGAACGACGCTTTTGAGACATTACGCACCGTCATACCGTCATACCCCGTGGGCGACGACGGTCTTAAAGTGACAAAGATCACCACACTGAGACTGGCACTGAATTATATCAAAGCTCTTAGAGATACTTTAGGATATGCTTCATCTGACTCTCTAAGTGACCAGTGTTTCAGCCCAGGGAGTTCGGAAGGGGGCGCGGTCTCCCCTCTGCCAAATCACATCCCCCCTCCCGATGTCGAAATGAGGTCACCACCAGGCAGTGGTTTGGACTCAGAAGGTGAAGCTATGGTCATTTCGTGATAATAATGTAATGACACTTCTCTACGATTATCCAAGCACTCTGTGACTGTGACTTGTTCTTTCGGATCAATCTGATTAACTTGGTAAGCTTTTTATTGGGTCCAGATTGGAGAGCCTATAGGCCATGTGTTGAGAAGTCAAGTGCGAAGGGGGCTCTGATCCCCCTGTTCCCGTAACGAGATACCTGCCTATTGAAGGTATTGATGAGTAAACAATGTTTGTTTTAAATATCACCTCAGAGTAAAACAATTTTCGACGCAGGTCTAAGAAGGCGGCAACTTCGGACGCTTGTTGTTGTGAAAAGAGAAAATGACCGAAAAACGTTTTTTTTTCTTATTCTTTGAACCACATATCACATCATAGTACAGTTAAGGGACATGTTATGAATAGAATCATATCTTAAACATGTTACGTACTTGGACTTTCTTACGTACATGGACTTTCTCTTATACTCAGGTGTATAAGGAGTGCTCAGGACACAATGTCATCTTCATCATTAGGGCCTTATATATTGATTGTGGCTCTTTTTCACTGTATATAGCAACTCTGGAAATATAAACGTATATAGCAATTATCAATAGAAGTCAGATTTTCAAAGAGTGGAGATAGGGTGACATGTTTATTATCACGTAGGAGTGGAAGTTTTCAATAGACAACATTGATAAGCGGAGAGTCATCGATGTTAAATATACGTTACTCAACAAATGCAGTTTCACATACATCGTCATGTGGATTCGACACGCACATAAAACACTATGGACGGACTGACGATACTATTTGACCTGAAATTAACATTGTTGAAACGACGTCAACAATGCAGTGTAATGGACCTTAGCACCAATGAAACCATGGTCCTTTAAAAGCATCTGCATTGCGACTGTCCATTTCAATGTGACGCCAATTATAATGTTTGCACACTGAAAATGTTTGGAAATGAAACGTATAGTAGGCAGTAGTTGAAAAATCTAGAAACTGTAAATTGCAGATTAGCAATGAGCTTCATTCTGATAGTATTTAAACTAAGCACAGGCGGTTATAAA